TTTACTGCACAAAAGTTTGTTCGATACTCCCTTTCGCCCCCCCCCCGCCCCTCAGGAGCCTTCGAGGTGGGTGGGAAGAGGGAAGGGGGAGGCGGGGATGTAATGGAACGAGCAGGGAGGAGCGGACTGTAGGTGTAGTGACGAGCGGGGTTTGTGGTGAAAACGACCGCAGGAGGGAGGGGGGAGGAAGGGTGGTAGTATGACGAGTGAAGAGTGGGTTGGGAGCTGTCCAACGGGAGAGTGTAGTGACAAAGGAAGAAGGTGAGGTGAAAACCCCCCTCCCCCTCCCTCCGCCTCCCTAGGAAAGCGTCCTGCAACCGCCTGTGTCTTTTGGGTGTACATGAAAAAACGACCGGGCTTTATGCAAGAAACTAGTAATCGTTTACCTGGAGATCCATGCGATTCTATAATGTACCACCACCTTCATCCCAACTGACGCCTTCTCTCCTGCATGCCGGAGGGGGCCAAAGCACGGTCAGTATGAGTCAAAGTGTTAGGTTACAGCGCAGGGATCATTCCTGCGATTAGCGAGTTTAGTGCAAAAGCGCATGATCGCACCTGCAAGCTTTGTGCATTCTAGCCTGGGTTTGTGATGCGATCATGCGTTTTTGTGTGGTTTCATGCAGTCTTGTTTTTATCTTGCACCTGAGAGAGAGGGGGGAGGAGTTATACGCTGAACTGCTGATCTTGCACTGTGAGAATTGAGTTTTCCTATGAGGCGAGAACTGATGTGGGAAGAGAATGCCGATATTTTTACAAACGAGAACTCGGCGCTTAGGCTCTTGAAAGTTCATTTTGCAATTGCGGATGAAAGCATGAACAGTAAACACTCAAACAAAGGCAAAGGCAAAGCAGCAACTTTCTGATCGTTCTAGTCCTCGAATTAAAAAGGTGCCACCTCAAGCTTTCAATTGCGCGTACGAAAGGCCTTGACATGCTTTGAAGCTGAGTTTAAATCTTTGGGTCGCATATTTTTGCATTTCACAAGTAGTGCAAAAACGCATAAAACATTACTGAACATTTTGCTTTCACCTTGATTACATTTTTTGGCTGCCTTAATCTTTCGTATTAGTGCTTCCCACAAAGACAGCTGGAAGCCAAACGGAGCACATTCCTTACGCGTGGTATGCCGTTAGTCTAGTATTTTTCAAACATAATTCAATAAAGTCATGATCTAAATTCTGGCGTTATCTTTTCAATACCATTCGGAGATCTGAGTGAACTGTCTGAAAAATCATTTGCAGCTAAAAAGCGATATCATTCATGGGATCATAGTTATAATAACAATGAATCGAGCGCAGTTCTCTCATTTTTCATCCTTTCTGTCTGAGTACATACATGCACTGCTACTTCGGTGTATTGCTAAAGGTACTCCCGAGGATGCCGTTCATAACCAGTTATTATTTCTAGAACAGTGCTGATCATTCCAGGATGAGAAAAGGGATCCGGCATTTAGAACAAATCTGAGATTTTTGATAAATACAATCAAAGCGGCAGATAAGGATGGCGATGATAAGATCACTTTTGAAGGTAAGAGGCACTTTCTGTTTGGGCCGGGCTTGTTTTTCAAGAAAACATTTCATTTTAGTGCCTGTTCGTGTGCAGTGAGTGTTTCTTGATAGCTGTTACTTCTTAAAGCTGCTCATTCCGATCTGTTTGCAGAGTTCAAGGACTACATCCACAACGTAACTGCCAGCCCGCATTAATTCTGGTGGGCATTCACTTCTGTTGCTTTCCTTCATGTTTCATTATTTGGATTGTTTTCTTTGTGCATCTTCGATGCCGAAAAAACGGATATACACGTGTAAGAGAATG